GCCGTCCCATGTACACGGAATCGGAACGACGGAACGGATTTCTTACTAGAAATAAGTTCACTAGCATTCCGTTCCGTATGAAGTTTCTCTGCTGTATCGGAATCACCGGAACTATGGCCGGAACAGTACGGAATCAACGGAATGTTATGTCGGTTGCATGTGACATGCTAAATCCAGCTATTGAAATTAAAATAAAATGAGCAATAACGGAGGGCCGGTAATAATAATTTTATACAATATTTTACCTTGATAATAATGAAATAAGTTAATGTTATCAAGTCAACAATAAGGTTAGGTTAGGTTATGTAAGAGTAAATTGAGATAAGAATAAATTGACAATTTCATTCAATTATTTGGCATATTGATTATATACATAGTAGTTTTTGTTTTATTTACCAAAAACCCTGAAATTTTTGAACAAAAATTTGAAATTATACGTTTCATAATAAATGTGTTAATTTTTTTCAGGCAGTAAAATGTGGTTACTGTGGCTGGCTCATGTTCGGGTCTTGTACAGAGATTCAAGCCCATTAATGTTTTAAAAACTATGATGAAAATATTCATGTCCTCTCTATTGACAAGACAGGACATGCTACAATAAGTATGTTTATTTGTGAGAACATTTTTTAAATGATTTATTTGCAAATATTGAACATATTCAGTAAGTATATTTACTTATGTATAAACAGGAATCAAAGATACAAATGAAAATATGCAGAGCGATGTTCCACCATCGGAGAGTAACGAATGTATTATGTCAGTTGACATCAAGGACGAGATGCTAATTGATGCTGAAGAGCGGAGACCAGCTCTTTGGAATTTTAAGTTGCCAGCACAGAAGCGTACCCCCGTTATAAAACGAGACTTGTGGGATGAAATACATAATAATCTTGGTAATATTAAATAATTTTATTTTGTTTTATGTATTCAAGAAATTGTCTATACAACCACATGTGGTAAATCCATATAGTTTTTTTTCAGTAGGAGTATAAACAAACTGTAATTGTAAATTCTATTTTCCATTATTGAATTATTAGGTTTTGAAAATGCAGCATGGATGAAATCTAGATGGACTTACCTTAGAGATTGTTATACAAAAGCAAAAAAAAAATGAAACGTTATATACCCAGCGGATCAGGTGCAGAAGCAGGACATACACAAAAAAGTTCGTTTCGCTTTTATGCAAGGATGCAATTTTTAGAAGAAGTAATGCCAGTAACCCCGTATGTATAATAATAATTATATTGTCATATATAAGTTTTAGAATACGAAATGTATATATTTTCATTAGTTGTCATTGTAAAATTTTAGTACCACGAGTTCTTTATCATGCAACGTAACTTCTGAAGAAAAAAATGAACTGAACGAAGTCAATTTAAGTATTCAAGAATCCAGTAGTATCATATATTCTCCAAGTTGCAGCACGCCAAGCATTCGTGAAAGATCAGATAGTTCGGACGATTGGAAATCATCATCAAGCGGAACAAAGAGTAGGTTAATTTGGAATAATTAATAATCCTCTTAGATTTTCATATTGAATTCATATATTTATGTAGTCTTTTTTTCAAAACTTTTCATAAATTGTCATAAGCTTTTATTACACATTTGTACGCGTTTACACATTTATTTAGCGGTGATACTAAAAAATTTAAAAAATTCTAGGCAGATATTCAATTTAAAAATAATTTCGTAGCCACAAAAACTTTTTTTAAATTTTATCTTAAAGAGATAAAGATATTTCATTCAAATACCTATACACTTGGCAAATAACGTTCTAAATAAGACATCGAAAATGTATTATTTTATTTATTACTATGTATAAAAATATAGGAAAATTTATTAGTGAAATTTTTTGTATTACAGGAAAAAAGTCTGATTCTCATGTACAGTCTTTGCATGCATCTA